TAGTTTTAGGTATAAATAATGATCCACTGATTATTCCTGGCTGACTGGACTTTTCCTTTAAGGAAAGGATCCAAATGATTTTCTTTAAATAAATCATAGCATGAACACATTATCAAAGTAGTTCGATGGTTGAATGTGACAGTCATAGTTGTAGATTATGCAGCAGAGATTTTACCCAAGACTAATTTCCTTCAGGACAATAAGGTTTATATCATCATAAATCTGCTGGTTTTTAGAAAGTCCTTCCCCCCTTATTGCACATCTACGATTCTTTTTCTTTCTTATAAGAACATGAATAATTATTGTAAATTAAAATTGTAAATCCTCGGATGCTGCCCCATATAGACTCTGCAGGTAAATGAGACGCTTGGAAGCCCAGAACCAAATGGGACCAACGCAGCATTAGAAAAATGTTTAATGAATAATGTTTTATTCAAATATGACTTCATGTTTTTATGTGTTTTATGTGGTCATAGTCTGTAACTAGCTAACCTTGCAAGCAAGATGAATCGTTGCAAAATTTGTGATTTAACAAATTCCCAAAAATACATCTTGACAGAAGCAAAATTATGCGTTACCTCGATGTGACCACCAGAATGCTTTGATCTCTACGACGCCCACACATCAAGCAGAGGCTGAAGCAAACAAACATGGCTGCATCTGTTTCAGTTGAATACCCTCCATTTCCTTTTTCAAAATGAGCAAAAGGATTGTTGCCTTTTTGTATTTTATGATGTTTGTGTTCACTACTGACCAGATTTGGTAAGAGGCTGATTTATCTGTTAAATCTGCAAGTTGTGAAATAATGTGACACATCACAGCTACTGCTGCTGCTGTGATTGGTTGAAAACTCAACATGGGAGGCAGGTACCCAATCAGCCCAAAATATTGTACTGAATGTCAAAGTTTAAAAAAAATCCACTGGACTTGGTTTCCAAGATTTGAAGACGTTTCGCCACCTCTCCAGGAAGCTTTCTCAATTCAAAGCTTCCTGGAGAGGTGGCGAAACGTCGTCTTATATTTCTTGTATAGTTTAATAATGTTAACAGGGTTTTTTTGGGGGGAATATTTCAGTTTGATGTTTTTAAAGAGTTTGTTCTAAAAATAAAACTTTAAATGATGAAGTAGGTATCAGTTATGTTTAGGTCTTTGTCCTCGTTTCCCCTTTCAAAAGAAAATCCTGACAAACAGGGCTTAAACTCAGACCTATGGGTGTATTCAGAATGTCACCTTACACCTTTAAGTATTCAGCTCCTGAAAT